AATGTACACGTCTTCATTCGAATAATTTGTTTGTAAGTGTAATTCGTAGCTGTGTTATTATAATTCTGACAATAATGTTTGTTAATATCTATTATGTACTACCAGTGTGTAGTATTATCAATTACCGCTTTATATATGTTTGTGTTCAATGAGGTGACGTGATTACAAACATGCCTTAACCGGCTTACGGGTTCAACTTCAACTTCAAGGATAGAGAACGGGTAAGACTATTCCCCGGGCACTCTGGCAGGGCGAGCCCACAGTGTAGGGTGGTCGGTAGGGTAGGGTCGGTAAGGTAGGCCTAAGTTGAACCCTGACCCCTAACCCTAACCTAACATCCCTATCCCTATCCCTATCCAATCCCTATCCCTATCCTAACTCTAACCTCTAAACTAAACCCTACCCTAACCATACCCAACCCGACCACCCCTACATTGTGGGCTCGCCCTGCCAGAGTGCCCGGGGATTAGTCTTTTCCATAGAGAACATGGGTCCCAATAAAACCACTGTCATTTACATCAATATAAATATAATATTATATCAATATAATAGGTTAGGGTTATGTTTAGGGTTAGGCACATTGGTTTTATTGGGACCCATGTTCTCTATCCTGGGCCCGGCTTACGTCTTATTAATATTATTACTAATATAGTAATACTAATAGTCTAATACTAATAGTAATACTATTGTATTAGTATTAGTATTACTATATACTATTAGGTTAGAGTTACTGTTACTACTAGTGTTAGTTACTGTGTGTAGACTGTAGTGTACAGGCCTCGAATTAAGCGACGAGAGGCAAGGCAATTTTTGGGGGCATGTGAGAAATTGCCTTGAATTTCTCTATAAAATGGATGAGCACCGAGGCAATTTTAAAGGCATCAAGGCAACTCTCACAATTTGGAAGGGCACCAAGGCCATTGTTATGGAAACTTTGTGTCATCGTAGAATTCTACTAAAATTTCTCTAAATTTACTGCACTTAGCAAGCTACACACCGTACATATCACTGGCCATTCTTGCGCGAGCGTCGTTTCCCGCGCTTTAAATCGCGCGTGGGCCGAGTCCGGGCGTGTAGCATTTAAATATTCGTGTTCTACCACGGGCATACACAGGTGCACTATTTATCGATCGTCTACTGGCTGCGGGTTGGCAGCAATACCACGTTTTGTTTTGCCGCGGGTAGACTGTATCCGGCCTCACACTCTGCTAGAGAATGTACACGCTCTGCGACAAACAGTGCGGCCGCGAACCAGTCTAGCCAGAGGCACTGACGGCAATTACAGAAAGGGCAAGGCAGGTCACTGCCGTCGGTCGGGTTGGATTTTCAGGGGCAGTACGGCGATTGATAGGGGCACGACGGCAATTGCCGTCGGTGCCGTCGGTTAATTCGAGCCCTGGTAGTGTAGCTCTAGTACCGCAGGGCTGCCAACTCTCACGCATTGACCGTGAGACTCCTGCATTTTGACCAAATCTCATGCTCTCACGCTGATCTTACAATATCTCACGCACAGCAAAAAATGCTGAGATATCTCACACATGATATCTCTTCATGAATAAAACGCTGAAATATCTGACGCAAGCAAAAAAATGCTGAGATATCTCACACATGAATATCTCTTCATGAATAAAACGCTGAAATATCTGACGCACAGCAAAAAAATTTTTACAATATCTAAAAAAAAGTCACTTTAGTATGCACCAAATTGCACAAATTGAAGTTATAAAATGCAAAAGCTCCATACTGTGGGAGGGGGGAAACCCCTCGCATCTCACTCTCACCTATCACCCAATGTTGGCAGCCCTGGTATCGTACTATAGCCCGTGTTCATTAACTGCCGCGCAGCCTGCGGCAGTTAATGAACGCGGGCTATAGTACTAGAGCTATGTGTAGTACGTGTTACTGTTACTGTTGTTAGTGTTAAGGCGGGCTTATGTCGGGCTTGCGAGCCGACTCGACTGGAAGCAACTGGATTTCGAGCAACTGGAATCGATGAGCAGCGACTAGTTGCGTCAGTGTGCCACTGTTCTATTCCGAGCAACTAGTGCGGCCAGTCCGCAGGCAGTCGCGTTGCAGTCGACCGACCTAAGCACTGCAGTCGCAGTGAATTGTAGCCAGTTGCTTCCAGCAGGATAGGAGTCTAGACGAAGAGTTAACGGGGGGGGGGTATTAAATAATGGAATGTTAGAGTGGAAAGAGCAATTAAACAGAGTGGTACTACCGTCTGGAAAAAAGGGATAGAAAACAAGAGTTTGCTAGGATTGTATAAAGAAAAAAAGACGCCTGGTAAAGAGTCCTTTTATGATAATAGTCTTGGCAGTAGCCTGCTCTTTCAATGCAGGGTGGGGTGCTTGCCATTGAATAAACGAACTAGACACTGGGGAGGTGAAGATAAATGTTTAATTTGTGGGAGAGGAGAGTTGGAGATCCTGGAGCACTTTTTACTAGAATGTCCTGGATATGAAAACCATAGAAAAAGTTTTTTTAATATGATTAAACGTAGAACAGGTTTGGAGGCAACAGAAACCGCACATGACATGCAGGAGGAGCTCTTGAAAACTCTCCTGGGGTTTAGGGTTGGCAGCAGCCTTATTACTATAGTTCAGCTTAATAAACAGTACCTGGAGATACTTTGGGGAGCCAGATCAGCTGCACTCACAAACCTATAAGGGGACACGGAATGAATTTTCTCTTTTCTTTTCTTTTTTCTTTTTTGCAGGGAAATACCGATCTAAAGGTTCCCAGTCATACATATATAGTCGAGTCGGCTTGCAAGCCCGACATAAGCCCGCCTTTAGACCCACAACACTGGCACTTTGGTCTGTTTCCCTAATAAAAATTGATGGTGAATAAACACGAATTGTACTTGCTACCAAAGCTTTAATGTTTATGTACTCTCTAATGCCTAATAATTCCACATAACTGCCATTCTAAATCTAATCTACAATACTCAAGCTTCCTTCATACACATACTAGTGTCACACAGCTGCTTGATTCAGTTGCCTGACATTGTAATAATTATGTCATCATCGCACACAAATTTTACAGGCGAGTTAATTTTTGAACAAAGTAACTTGTCGGTTACTGAGTGTGTTACTCACGCCCTAGATGAGATGCTGGTTATTCATTGGTTTTCTTCACTCTATTTTTCTAGGTTAGTAAATTGGCAAAATGGTTTCGGATGTTCAGCTGGCGATCTTCTCCAATCTTCTGGGAGTGTCGTTGTTCCTCCTTGTCGTCCTCTACCATTACATTGCTGTCAACAATCCAAAGAAGCATGCGTGAGGTGAGTTTTGTGTGTGTTCATGGCTTTCATTTATTGCTCATAGCAGAGATGGGTTAGAACTTTATTCTTTTATGCATCATTACTTTATATTCATGATTAGAAGTAACAGAGTTGCTGAGTACATCATGTGCATGATAGAAAGCAGAATAGTGCATCCAACGTCGACACGATGAGGACACTTGATGGTTCCAAACATTATTATTTCACTAAATTATTAGTTAGCTTTAAAATAATGTTATCAAGTAGTAAGAACATCCTGTGCATCTATTCAAAATCCAGACTTTCCTCAGTAATGTTGTGAATTCTGGTGAGTAGTTGCCGACCTTGCTAAATAGTATTTTCCATTTTCGCAGCTAACATGAAGTGGAGACCCTCAGCATCATCAGCATCAATATCATCATCGCCATCATGTCTTTACCACATCTGGGACCGTCGTCGTCAGTGCCTCGGGGACCCCGGCACGGATCCCACAGTTAGTGTTGCAGTGAGCGGCTCGTTCGCTGAAGCTGCTACCTAACACAGGCTGTTCATTGGATTAAAATTTGCAGAAAACTATAGTCCTGTACTGTGGTATTAACAACACGAAAGCACGAATTGTAATAATCTCTGTAGCCGCGTATGGTATTGGTGTTAATCACGGAAATTGCGTGTCATTCTAGTATACAACATTATTGGCAGATTAAGTGGTTGACAGCTTGATAGAAATTGTATCCATGGCCATTGGACAGTTGCTTTTTTGTCAAGTATGTATATTTACACCAATCTTGTGTCATTAAAGTTCTGTTGAATGGATCTATAAATAAGCTAAGACGGTGACTTGTAAATCTTTCTGTATAGAAACAACTGAGCTTTGGCAATGTTAGATCAATTATATCGTGCTTACTTGTATGTATAAGAGAATTGACAAAAATTATGACGTTTTAAAAATAAATATTACTAAACTTATTTCTGTTTACCATTGTTAATATAACTACTAATGTTAAAAACCCATTTTTATACAAAATCATTCTGTTATAACTCATTGGCGCTATGCTACAAAAAAACTTCTTAGTTGTACTTGCTTGCTCTACTACTACCAAGCTACTGCTAAAAAAAAAATTTGAATACATGTGTAATATAGTGAACCATCCCTAACTCTAAATACCACACCGTCAGGTGCTGCCACCATGCGGTCTATATTAGGATTAGTGCATACTGTATAACCAGTTAAAACCAGTCAATAAAACAGCATGAATCTAAAGCAGTCGTGTTCTCTATCACTCCAAGAAACCCATAGAAAACATGCAAACATTACACCATGCTACTACACAACACAGTTGGTATTTTACAACCCCCAGCTATGCATTTCCACTTTTCAAAGAGTGGACAGTGGATATTTATATCAACCATGTATACTGGGGATTGTGACGGGTCTTGCATTACACATGCTAGTGAATACAGAAGAGTTGACACTTTGAATGTCATCAAACTAGTATAATGTTCGCTAACGTCTATACAGTTCTTAGAAATAATATAGGTCTATAATTATAAAGGCGATCACTTTTATTTCACATCTATGCTGTCGCGCATAAGCTAGTGAGGTGACATGCTAGTTTCGTGTGGGATGGCTTCCTTCAGTAGTGCATCTATGATATGGCTAGAACGTGTGTGGTGGTGGGGGAAGGGGAGCCAGGGGGGGGAGGGTAAACACCAACAGCGATGTGGAACTTTTACTCTCTCACTCATACTCTGAATTTATTGTGATCGGCGATAGCTAAATACGACGGCCAATATTATTGGCACTAATACGTCTCCCACAGAAATTATAACTGATAACATTTAGGAGGTGATAAGGTTGCCTCTGATTCAACCATGGGGCGCTTCGATCGTCTGTTGACGTGCACACGTGAGCAGCGTGACAGCGTCTGTTGATAGCAGACGAGTGTGTCATCAGATCTTATCTTCGTGAATATTACCCCATTTACCTCATTTACTGGTTATGTGTTATTATAAAACCAGTGCCATTCTATTTACAACACAAGCTATTAGTGGTCTTATAAACATTCATTAATTGTACGTTCTCGTTGTAGTACTTAGTAATTATCGTAATTGGTAGTTATCCCTCGTGAGGTTGTTTTGAGTTGTGCGCTTGAAATGCAGTCGTCTTCAAATTTCTGGAGCTGTATTGAAACATTGAAACATGATTTAATTAAAAATAAGAGAGTTTCGAATGTTCAGCGCATGTCTGAAGATACATTAATAAGACAAAAGTTTGATGTTGAACAGCCACAGGAAGATGTTTCGAGGTGATTTGAAGAGAGGATTTTCATTATTAGTACGGGTACTACTAGTACTACTAGTCTGTCAACTTCAACATTACACTCACTCCTCGAGTCTTAAATTAAAGTTCGATCTATGAGGAATATTCATTATGATGAGGGAGGTGAGAGATTTTCATGTTATAGTCTGCAGTGCGGAGATTAGGCATATGAAAATCACAACAAAAAACGCCAACCAAAATGGTGATTCGAAAAATCATATTTATTTTTTATTTTACTTTTAGACAAGTTGTCATTGAGAGAATAGAGAAAGAAATAAAGCAGATGCTGCATGCAATTGCTAGGGGTGAACCCCCCAAATTGAGCTTTCTCTGTCGTACATCCTGGAGTTCTGTCAGGTGAGTTGTTAATCAACGTCTTATATTTATATTTTAGACGTTCAAACCACATGTTCAAATGTAGAGGCTGTAGGTAGATCTTAAAGGATTTATTTTTACTTCAAAGTTCAAAGGGAATTTTTTGAAAGTGACTTGTAATAAAACAGCGTTGTGAATGTCCAGTGACACTATTTTCATCTTTTTATTAAACACTTGCCTAACCTAGCCAGTGAAGGACGTTTACATGTGATAACTCGTGCAATCTTAATTGCATGTACACATACTGTGTCACCTTAATTACGCTCATAGGGTCTATGTCCCCCAGGGTACTGCCGGAACGTACCCTGGGTACGGTCCGGTATACCGGAACGTACCCTGGTCACTATTTGATATGGTTAGGGTTAGGATTAGGGTTAGCTAGGGTTAAGGTTAGGGTTCGGGTTCGGGTTTGGGTTAGGGGGGAGGCGTAGGCGACTCCCTAGACTCGTTAGTGGAGTAGACGAGGTACGGTCCGGCATATTAGATAGTACCAGGGTACGTTCCGGCAGTACCCCGGGGGACATAGACCCTCTCAGCATAACTTGGCTGTTGGCAGGTTTGATCAGGAATATGGTGTTCAATTGCATCAACCGTCAAATAAGCAGTGTAGTGAAGATTTCCAAGCAAAAATGACGACAGTAACGTTTGGTTGGGCACCATCTATCAAGAAATATGGTAAATATAGTCTCAAATTATCACCTTGAATTTTTGGTGCAACCTACCCTACTAGCATTTGAAGGATAGAAAGTTTACAGATTTATGTTTTAGTTTACAGATATGAAATGTTCATGTTTTTCAATTCATACTATAACTGTTATATACTGTTTGAATTTATTGAAAGCTAACCCTGATTTAAAATTTTTCCATTATGTGCATAAATAGCGAGTAGTTGTATATAATTACCTAAATTCAACATATTTCCATATATATCTGTATTATCTCCCTCTTGTGTGTGAATTGTTGCTACGCGTTTCACATGTGGCAGTAGAAAAAGTGTGTAACTACAATCTGTGTACATGGCTATACTGCTGTTTCAGCCCTCATGGTACATCTGCTCAGCGTGATCTATAGACTGGTCCACACAAACACCTTCTGCACGAAGAGGTAAAACGGTTTGTCTCTGCCACACATGGAGAAGACGCAGACGAGTTTGCGTAGACGGGGCGCGTGCGTCATATCCATCATTAGTAATGCAGAATTGTACATGAAGGCGTTGCTTGTAATTCAACCCACGTATCTCAACATTGCAGCAATGTTCAATCGCTACACGATTTCTACTTCAGAGACATCTACTACCAGAATCCTGAGTTGTTTGGTTCGCAGCGCCACCTGGACGAGATTGTAGACGACATCGCCTGTCTGCTGGCCGTACCTCGGCGATCCCTGCATGTTGTGAGCTGACTTAATCGCAATAATCATAATTTTTTGTCAGCAGCCATAAAAAAGTTCATGCTTCTTACTCTTAGAGAGTTTATTCTATATGGTTGTGGTAGTAGTAGGTTTTATTCCTCATTACCATAAATACAATATCATATATAATTAGTTTAAGGTAGATGTGTAAGGGTAGTACGATACCTCGGAATATTGTAGTGAGATTTCTGTATTTATTTTGCAGACTGCAACATCTAAAGGTCTCATAGCAGGAGATCTACAGTACACTGAGGCTGATGGAAGATTTGTAGATTGCAATACTACAAGTTCAGTACGTCTCTCCCACTCTTTCACTTTATGTGTTCTTATCTCATGCACGCACTCTGTCTCTCTGCCTCCCCTTGTTTCTCTCAGTCTCCTTTCTTTCTCTCTCTCTCTCTCTCTCCTATTTGTTTATTAATTATAAACATCGTGAAGCTTCTATATTATTTTAGCATTGGTTAGTATCGCTGTGAACATAACAATAATTAAAGGGCATTGATATTCAATAAGCATCAAAATGTTTTGTAAACCTTTCCAGTCTGCACAGTTTTTTTGTTTACGTCCAATGAAATTTAAAAAGTTATTGTTTTTTCTCTTCAGGGAATCCTCTTAACCAGCAATGTGGACGGTATAACAAGTATCCTTAATGGTGCAAAATATATATATAATATGCAAAAATATCATATACACATACCTCATGAGAATATATATATACATTGCATCTACTATTGTGGCTGCCTGACCCATTATATTTCAGACTTAACGATTTTCCTGAACTTGCACTGTGATGGGTTGATTGTGCATGACCTTGACTCTAAGCAATAGACATGTGCAGCCATGCTAAGTTTGTATTAGTGGTTGAAAAGGATGCTACATTCCAAAAGCTCCTGGATGACAACATATTTACACAGCTGGGGCCATGCATTATCATAACAGTAAGTCCCTAAATAGGATCAAAGCTAGGTGCAGAGAGTGAGAGTGTGAGAGAAAGAATAGGAGGGAAGGAGGATTATGAGAGAGAGAAAGAGAGAAAGAAGCAGGAAAGGAAGGATGCGGGAGAAATGGAGAGAGAAGGAAGAAGGAACGAGGCAAAGAAAAACTCAGAGGATAATACTACTATATTATTAGTTCTTGGAATGGTCATAACAAGCTTATGTATATATATATATATATAGAGAGAGAGAGAGAGAGAGAGAGAGAGAGAGAGAGGGGAGAGAGAGAGAGAGCATGGACCTAGTATGGTAATTGTTATCCTCGTTTAAATTGCACTGGTCAGTATATTTAACGGTGCGTTACACGTGTGTCTTGCATCGTTCGTCAGGGTAAGGGGATGCCGGACGTGAACAGCAGGTTGATGGTGAGGAAGCTGGCGGACACGCTGCAGCTTCCCACGCTCGCGCTCGTCGACGCCGACCCTCACGGAGTCGAGATTATGTGCGTCTACAAGTACGGCTCCAAGGTGAGTGAGCGGCTCCAAGGTGAGTGAGCGGCTCCAAGGTGAGTGAGCGGCTCCAAGGTGAGTGAGCGGCTCCAAGGTGAGTGAGCGGCTCCAAGGTGAGTGAGCGGCTACAAGGTGAGTGAGCACTGACAGTGATGCCGGAAGCCATACAATTCGCTAATGTGAGATTTTTTAATCCTGATGGCTGCAGTTTTACGATGCTGTAGGGTTTATCTTAATAATCATAGCAGGGTGAACTTTAAGAAAGGAAACATGTAAATTGGAATGACTGCAGAGACAAACATGTAGACATACAGGCAGGGCACAGACAGATAGAAAGATGCAAGGAGAGGGGCAGTGAGAATAAGCGATACACACATCGATTTATCTGTTTTCTATTGCGGTCGTATATTGCGGTCGTAGATTGTTTTGGTTGCATCCGCTCACGTGTGATCGTACGTAAGGGTCTCTGCTTGGTTTTCAGTCGATGTCGTTTGCAGCGCGTGACCTCACCCTGACCTCACTGCGCTGGCTCGGTGTGCTACCTAGTGACATTCACAAGTGAGTGAGTAAAACCTTAGCATAGCAGTCTCACGTACCCTACGCTCGCCGTGTGACAATAAAAAAACTAATGTCACGTTGTAAATTGTAAGCAGCCTAGCATAAAAATGTTCGTATTTGTCTACCCGACTTCAAATTTGTACCCTAAGGTTGAATATGTTGTGTAGAATAAGGTAGTGTGTTTGGTTTATGCATTCCCTACAACTGTATTGGTTAATTGTTAACCAGGTAAGTTAACCAGATGGTTATTAATGGAAGCATTAACCAGGTAGGTAAGTTATTGCCTTTACAATACATTTAAAACAGACTTCAGATTCCGGAGACCAGCCTGATGCCGCTGTCCAAAACAGATCTGGACAAGGCAAGGGATCTTATGAGTAGACCCTACTTCTCTACCCAGCCGGACTGGATACACCAGGCATGTGGGAATGGGAACAACTGAGTATTCCATTCTAGCCTCTACCTGTCACCACATAAAATTTTTAGTGACCTAGTGGTTTCCCAGTGTAGGATTGTGGCTTCAGTAGTAGTATAGACATTATAGCAACAGATCCTGGTAGCGCAACTTATATTGTATGTGTCATAGCAGCTAATGATCATGATCCTGCTATCAATAGTATATTGGATGTTATATACATACAGCTACTGTGTGATACGTAATGATGGCTTCAGTATATTCAGTATATTATTGCATATGCCGATTGTTATTGGTGGTGGCTTATATATACTGGCTTACATTGTATTATATTATATCAAGAGCTAATAATACCTAGAGTGTACAACGGAAAAACGGGAAAATAGTGCTATTTCACGACATGATTATTCTACTTTGCCTGCGAGTCTAGAATAATTTTATGGTATTGCATTAAGCAGAATTCTTTGCTCTCTAAAACAAGACCAACCGCTTGTCAATACGATACTCCTAGGCGGAGATATCGGCTCCTAAACCTCCCCTCCCACATGCCAAACGCCGCCTCGAATCCACTTCTGTCCCCATCCTTCACGCGGCTAAGCGTTGCTTCGTGAAAGTTCGGTTTTTCCGCCATAATTTTATGAATGATTTTCGGGTGCAGGTGCAGGGTGGAGGTGACTTTCGGGGGCATCGCCTATGCCCTTATCTCCCATTATCTTTCCTAGCACGGCTAATGCCCGTCATGATGGAGCCGGCAATGTTTTTTTAATTAAGTCTCTACAACGCAGCTAGTAAGAGTACCAAATTTGGGCATGTGACATCAATTATCAGCGCTCCAAGCGGTGACGGAAACCGATAGCCGAAATGCTTAGACGCGTGAAGGATGGGGACAGAAGTGGATTCGAGGCGGCGTTTGGCATGTGGGAGGGGAGGTTTAGGAGCCGATATCTCCACCTAGGAGTATCGTATTGACAAGCGGTTGGTCTTGTTTTAGAGAGCAAAGAATTCTGCTTAATGCAATACTATGAAATTATTATAGACTCGCAAGCAAAGTAGAATAATGTTGTCGTGAAATAGCACTATTTTCCCGTTTTTCCGTTGTACACTCTAGGTATTATTAGCTCTTGATTATATATATATAATTTTATGTTACAGCTACAAATGATGGTGGCTATAACATATACAGTATTGTATGTTACAGCTAAAGATGATGGTGGCTTCAGGCAAGAAGGCAGAGATACAGGCTCTAACAGCTATAAGTGCCAGCTTCCTAACAGATGTATACTTGCCGAACAAGATTCGCTATGGCGGCTGGATATGAGTGACCTGTGGACTGTCTGACCTTCAGGCATCAGTTTGTGAGTCAAACTTATTAGACTAACATAGATTGTGTCACTGACAGTGTTCTGGTTGAATGTAACATGTGAATCTCTACATATTGTTCAACTGTTTGCACTGTTTCTCTATTTATACTATTTATACTAAAGTGCTTATACTGTGTAGTGTGAGTATAAATATTAACTGTTAGAAACTACTTCATTTTGTGGCTTATATGACGCTTTTTTGTTTCTTAGAAAATGTCTCAAAAAACAACTCTAATGAAACACAACAAGCATGATTTAAAATACAAATATGTATATATACGTATATATTTTTCATCTAGTGTTCGGTTAGAAACTGGCATAGATGTTCATTCACTACGTATGTTAATATAACCATTTACTTTTTTACCTGTATACTTCATAGCATTTTATTCTGTTGGCGTTAATCTTTATTACAGAGAATTCACTGCTAAATGTTTCCACATCTAATAACACATGTTGAAGAACACATATCTCACTATAACAAATGATTGTACTAGGGCAGCTCAGCTTACATCATGTCAGATCATGGATGTATAAAAAATTGCACAACCCAAACGTTTTCTGACTGGCAGTTAGATGTTATGCGACGGCTTTAACTATATTATGTAAAATATGAGTTCTGCTAGTTCTCACGTACGGTTCAGCCTTACTACCCACAGTGAGTGTGAAAAAATATCGTATCAAAATATAGATTTGCTAGAATATAGCTACGATGAGGCACGCCGATTTCAGATACTATTAGTAGGTTAATGCATATATTATGTATCTCCATCCATTTACATCGCAGAACGAAGAGCTTAAACATCTCCATCCGATCATCGGTGGCTAAACATCATAACAGCGCGTATTGATGTAAACACGTAGGTGAAACCAGCCAGCTCTCTGATGTACCAGCAGCATCCCCTGTATTAGGTAACCACGGCGTGTGCGTCGGCGGCCGAGGTATCTTATTTACGTCGGTGGCGTATGTTGCCTGCACCACCACCAGGTGGTTCGTTGTCAGCAAATAAACGAGTCCTAACATTAGCCTTACCATTAACTTCTTCTCATAAACCGGACCATTTTACACTGCTTATGAGAAACTCGCGACTTTACCATGTACCTGTGAGCAGTCGGAGAGAAAAAGTTGATGTTAGGATTAACGTTAAGACGAATTTTGTTTTTGACGACGGGGGCCCTAGCGCGTCGTCTACATCATCAGCTTCACCGGCAACAGTTATCACACGGTTTACATCGTCAGAATCACTTCTACCAGCTTTCTCGCTGTTTACATCGTTAGGCGTGGCATCTAACGAGCGGCTCACTCACACCTCCGTGTCCTTCCTGCCTTGCCGCGCGGGGCCGCCGCTGAATGACGGGATCGGGTCCACGCCTCGGTGGCTCAGCTCCGTGCTCTCCCGTGGCAGCGACCGGGTGTGGCCCGGCCTGGCGTGCGAGTGACCACTAGGGCGGCCATGGGAATGACCGCTAGGTCTACCGTGCGAGTGACCGCTCGGTCTACCGTGGGAGTGACCTCCCGGCGTGAAGTGACCGTCGTCGTCGTCGCCGCGTCCCGCGTCATCGAGGTTGTCCGGGAAGGAGAAGCACTGGCTCCCGCAGCTCCAGATGTTCGGTCCGCTGTCGTCGTCCAGGAGGTCCGGCTCCGAGCGACTCGTCTGCGGCGGCCCGCTCAGGAAGCGCGGCGGGATCTCGTCTGGCAGCGACTCCCCCGGGAAGAGCGGGTTGTCGTAGAAGGGGCCGCCGGGCGGGGGCCGCGCGCGGTACCGCATCTTGGGCGAGACGGGCGGGGTCGGGGTGCGCGGCGAGCGGCGGTGGTGCGGAGCGCGGTGCGGCGGCCCGCGTTCGTCCGCAAACGGGTCCGGACTGTCCGGGTACCTTTTCGGATCGCGTGGCTCCTCCTTCAGGGGTTCCCGGTGCGTCCCCGGCTCCCCTGCCGGCCACGGGAACTGCGACGGAGGCTCCAGGTAGCCGGGACCCCCGGGGTATCCCGCGGGCGGGGTCGCGAGGTCGTACGCCGGCACGTTCTCGCGCGGGGAGCGGATGGGGTCGTGACCTCGCGGGGGGTCACCGCCGGGATAGCCGGGACCCCCGGGGTATCCCGCGGGCGGGGTCGCGAGATCGTACTCAGGCAGCCGCTCCCGAGGAGACTTCACGGGTGCCTGACCCTGCGGCGCGTCCCTCTCTGGTTGCCAGGGACCCCCGGGGTAGGTAGGACCCCCGGGGTAGCCGGCGGGCGGGGTACCCAGGTCGTACTCTGGGAGTCTCTCTCGCGGGGACTTGACGGGGGCGTGGTCGGGGCCTCTCCCCGGGAACACGGGACCCCCGGGGTAGCCGGCAGGCGGGGTCGCGAGGTCGTACGCCGGTGGCGCCTCCTGGTCGGGCGACGTGGGTTCGCCGTCGTCGTCGTGCGGAGGACGGCGGCGGGGAAGGTCACCGCGAGGCGTCTGCTCCTGCGGTCTGTCATCGGGGTCGAGAGGTCGTCCCCGGGGATCAGGGTCGTGCGGGTATCCGGGAGGAAGACGGAATCCGGGTCTCATCACGGGCGGACGCTGGCCCCGCGGCGATTCCGACACGCGATGGGGATCTACAGAGCAAGCAAGGTTGGCTTCACTGATGCATCCACCATAGGTAACGCCAGTTATCATTCGATGACATTCGTCTACTTGTTATTATTTATACCTAACCATGTAATCAGGAGTGAATGATAATAGATCTGTTATCATTCACTTCTGATGGAATGTTATTCTAATCTGATTCCATCTAATCTAGTGTAGTCATCTGTCTGTGTGTGCGTGCGTGCGTGCACATGCGTGCGTGCGTGCGTGCGTGCGTGCGTGCACATGCGTGCGTGCGTGCGTGCGCGTGACCCACCTTGGGGATACTGGTCGTCAGGGGGTGCTGATGGCGCGCTTCTCCTTCCTCTCCCTGGCTCCTCACCTACCGCAACAGTACAGTCAGAAGCTGGCTTACTTAGACTAACAAGTTACACTCATAGTTACATACTTATGCATATATATATATATATATATATATACCGTACGCATGTGCAGTTCTTGCATACTTGCAGTTCGAAACCCCCAACTTTCTGCGTTATTATGAAACCATCTGGTAGACTGGTATTCATTGGTAAACATTCGTTAGTTTATTTCCCAGCGCTTTTTTTCATTTCATATACCACGCACGTTCGTGTGCGCAGTTTGACGTTCTGCGATCGTGTATACGATATATGGGTGACATCAGCTGTAGAACCATGTGTTTAACACACCAGTCGATGATGCAGGAGCCATTACAGCTTACACTCACCATCAGGTGGATGACCCCTGGGTTTCTTCTTCCTCATGGTGGGCTCCCCGTCTGTGCCATGGTCAGGACCACGAGGCTCGTCTCCCTGCAAGTAATGCTACTGTTGATAACGGTTATGATGTAGAGATGATGTCAACGATGGTGTTGATGATGATGACAACGATGGTGTTGATGATGATGTTGATAATAGTGATGGCAGGGACGGTGGTGACGATGATGCTGATAATGGTGATGACAATGACGGTTGTGATAATGATGCTGATAATGTTGATGACAAGGAAGGTTGTGATAATGATGCTGATAATGTTGATGACAACGATGTTTTATAATACCGTATGTCAATATAAATTCAAAGATGCAGCTACCGTTACGTCTAGAAAGAACTACTGGTAGAAACTAACAGCATCGGTAGCGAGTAACTGGACGAGAAATCGATGCTTACGTCATTGTCTCTCGGTGAGAACTCATCTTGGCTGGTGGGAAGTTTCTTCTCGCCAGTGTCATCGTCTTCCTTCTCATTATCCTTCTCCTGCGGTGACTTCTTCTTGCGTTCCCTCCGCCTATATAACGGTTTGTATATATATACATGTCATAAGTGTGTTATTATCAATCCCTAAAGAAATGGGTCATTTGGTTCACGTACAAATTTGACTATCGCTCGCACGCACGCGCGTATACTCACATACACACGCATGCGCGCACGCGCACACACACACACACACACACACACACGCACATACACAAACAAACACACGTGTGTAAGTGTGATAGGTATACATGGGTTTGTTGATGCCAACCTACTTTTTGTAGCAGCAGAGTAGACATATGCAGCAGATACATAGCAGTATGATGAAGAGAGGTACCAGAATGATGACCGCAATCAGATGGCCTGAAATATTACACACTGCAATCAACCCGTCTGCAACATGCACTGCAATCAACCCGTCTGCAACATACACTGCAATCAAACGGCATGCAATATTTATACATGCATGCACGCTCGTATGCGCACGAACACACATGCACATATAAACTGCATCTTAGTCTACTACAATCAATTGTATGTGTACGTGCGTGCTTGTGTGCGTGCGTGCGTGCGTGCGTGCGTGCTAACAGCACACTTCACCATTTTCGTTGCTCGTACAGGCAATTTTCGTGGTCGGCAATTTTTGTGGCCGTTGCCGCGTCACAGCACACTTCACCACAAGTTGCCACCACGAGCAATTTTCGTGGTGAGAAATCAAACCGGTTTCATTCTCGGCAACTCGTGGTCACCACTAAATTTCCGTGGTGAGTGGTCGTTGCCGGCCCCCGCACACCACGAAAATTGCCTGTGCGAGCAACGAAAATGATTAAGTGTGCTTTACGTGCGTGCGTGCGTGCCTGCTTGCGTGCGTGCTTGCTTACAAGCGTGTGTGTGCGTGCGTGCATGTGTGTACGTGTGCGTGCGTGCATGTGTGTGCGTGTGTGCATGTGTGCGTGCATGCTTGCAAGCGTGTGTGTGCGTGCGTGCATGTACGTGTGTGCGTGTGCGTGCACGGGTATTCGCTTATATTTTGTCGTGACGAATCTGCACACCTACCTCCTAGTCCTGCTGTCCTGTGATCGTCTGTGGCCCCGTTCCACGTCACCCAGCCTCCGTCTCCATTCCGCAGCCACAGCGGAATCACAGACTCTCGCACGCCAACTGAAATAGCAGCAAATTAACACCTACATACAATCATTAACGTTAAACATTAGTAGGTGAATTTACCGCCTACTCTTGCGTTGGGTCACGTTAGCGTATCTTGTTAGCGGTCAAATGCACGCGGATGTGTGTGTGAGAGAGAGGGGGAGATTCGTACCCTCCACTCCTAGGAAGAAACCGCGGCCGTACGTCCCCTCTCTGTCAGAGTGGAAGGCGATCTCCACGTCTTTGGCTTTAGTCTCGACGATGAAGTGCTTGTGCGCTCCACACAGCATCACCTGGTCACGGCTGTCCTTTTTCTCAATCTGCGAATGAAAAAAATTGAAAAGAAAAACTTACATCACTAATTCGTGACCGGTAGTAGTGGCGGCACACGCTACAGATAGAAAGTGCTGGAGTACGCGTTGACAAAAACCCCGTGCACGTGTTTATCCTTGATATTGGTAATTAATTTGCGATGGTCATTGCGAGGTTACATCACTAGCAGGCTGGTTCATTAGCAATATATTTAATTATGGCAACTTGATTGCCCTTCAGACGTTCTTGATGTGATGATTATGTTAATGACTGGGTACATTAATCAGGAACGAAGCTACCAGGTGGGCAAGGTGGGCAATCACCCTCCCCCCCCCCCTGGACCAACGTAGATGGTCAGTGGCGAACTGTCTACGATCAACTGCCCAGAACACAACCTGGGAAATGTGTATCATTGCATTCCCCACTCGATCCCTCCAGAACACAGACCTCACGTATGTTTACACCCCTTCCCGCCTCCCCGGGCAGAATGAGTTAGCTATATGCTCCTACCCCTCTCGTCCTCCTTGCTGCTCGCCCGTGCCTACCTTGACATAGTCCTGGCACTGGTTGGACGTGTCCTTGGTCTCCAGATGAAGGTCATACAGGGTCACGCGCATGCGCTCTTCCTGCGCGTTCCTCACCACCCACTTGCAGTCAGAGTTGGGTCTGTATCTGATGGGGTAGCCGGCACTCTGAACATAGTTCAGCTTGCGTGAGAGGGTCGTGTGTGCGCACGTCCTGTCAATACTCCTAGCTGTGGTCAGAGAGAGCGAGAGAGAGAGATAGAGAGCAGGGGTTATTGTTTTTACGTTTGTTTGTGTTTTTTGTTTTTGTTTATGTTTGTTTGCTGTTTGGAATTGTTTGCCGTTGTAATTTTTATTTGTATATGTATGGTTATGTGTTGTTGGTATGTTGATTTTATTAGTATATATTGGTGTTTGTTTGCTATTGTTGTCTATTTTAATTTTGTATGCGTATGGTTGGACCTTGGTGCATTGTTATTTGCACGTGTAAGGTCGTATGTTGTTGGTATGTTGGTCTTGTTGGTATACGTTTGCATGTGAGAGCAAAGTAAACGTTGTCATTGCAAGTTCATTTTGTCGTAATATTGCATTCAGCCAGCTGTCACCAGTGCACTGACCGTCCCACCTGCCCTCACACACACATATATATATTCATAGAAAATGTGGACTGAGTAGGATGTAGGCCCAGACAAACGGGGAAAGAGAGAGGAAGGGAGAGAGCGCGCAAGAAAGAGAAGATGCGGGGGGAGAGAGAGAGAGAGAGAGAGAGAGAGAGAGAGAGAGAGAGAGAGAGAGAGAG